CTCCAGTGCCCTCCTGGCAGAGGTGAGACTGCAGGCACTCAGTCAAACATTCCCTTTCTTCACCAGGACTCTCTGCCTCACAGGAGAAGCTCCATGAGCTTCCCCCTTTTATTCTGGCTTCCAGAAACACTGACTCCCTGGTCTAGTCCCTCCCCATCACCACTCCTCTCTACATCACTCTTGCCCACCTGCCCATGTTGACTTCCCACCCTTCCGGGCTGGTCCCAGCCCTGCCTCCTTCCCTAGCATCTCCCTTCCTTCCCGGTCTCCAGCCTTGCCTCCTTCCCTAGCACCTCCTCAGCATCCTGTTCTCCAACAGGGAGCTGGAATGGGGAGCTGGAATGGGGAGCTGCATGCTGAGCAAGGACAGCAGACAGGGGAGGAATGGATGTGGCCATTGAAATCAAAGAAGAACACCTAAAAACTCTACAACCCACATCCAGACACATGACAATTATGCCAACAAGTGGTCAAAAACAAGCATGAGGTATTGCTGACCACTGTGATTTCCCGGGAAAGAGAGTACTTCAGAAAAACATTATGAAAACATCTCCCAAAGCTGGGATTCCCTCCAGCTGAGTGCCTTCTATAACCTGCAATAAATTATCCCATTATGAAAAAAAAAAAAGGACCAGGCAACTGTCAGCTGGAAGCGCCTGTCAATGCAGGGATTTGGCAGCGAGCAGGAGCACTCGCTTGACTCCCCTGCTCAAGGAGCTTCTCCGGAGTTGGGGCTGGAAGTTAGGACTCCACACGCTCCTGTTCTGCCCTCCTCCCCAGGCCTGTCCTATTGGTTATCACCACTCTGTGTGCCTTTGCAGCGTGCCCTGCAAGAGGGCCAGCCCGACCCTGTGGGCAGGAGGGTAGCGGTGGGAAAGCACCCGAGGAGCTGTGGGCATCACTGTGCTCCCCGGGGCCACGGTGTGGACCAGGCAGGGCAGCGTGAATGAGCTGTGCTAACTCCAGTGTAAGCCTCGGTGCAGAGGGGACAGGCAGCTTAGGTGAGAGGTATCTCTGCACCCTGCTGAAGGGATGTGGCTGTGTAGATGGCCATTTAATTAGGAGCCACGCACAACTGGGAACTGCCGTGAAGAATCTCCCTCAGACAAGCAACCACTCATTTCAGCGTCACATA